ACGAAAGGTAGATCTTGGGCAAAAATTAATATTTTCCTAGCTATGCGTTGAATTGGCGACCGGCTCCCCGAAAGATGTCAACTTCTGTTTTAATTCTTCCTGCCTACACAGAGAAGGACGTTGTATATTAATAACAACAGACTCCAAGATGTCAAGGTGAAGTCTGGTCCGTGCCCTGTGCAAGACAGTGAAGAACTCCGGAGAATAGTTCATTCTGCAAGCATCAGTATTCAATAAATGTCCGCTGATAGCAGAGTCGTGAGCCTGTGAACACCCGGATGCTACATGCTCATTACGTAATTGGCCCGGAACATGCTGGGCGATCCTAACCTCTAACCGTTGGATAGTATCGTCCATATAGTCGAACTCACATCGACATTTATACTGATAAACAACTAAACTCTGCTGATGGGCAGGCAGAACATCCTTGCGGTCAGAGGTACCGAAAGTTACCTAAAATAAAATCGTCATGATCCCATGTATCTTTTTGTTTTCATTTATCCCATATCTTAAATCAGTTTATCCGTTCATATATATATATATATATATATATATATATATATATATATATATATATTCAAACATATATTGTTACATCTAACAGACAACAAATCACTATTATGTTTGATCATGAGCCGTTCTAGGCTTCGTATAGTTGCTTTTATTTCGGGAGAAAATAAATTAACATTTGGTTATTTTTTATTATGGTGTTCCATGTTCTAAGGTTTCGGCTAACATGAGCCATCTTTAGATTGGTTATAAGGACATTTAAACAAAGATATTCACCATCAAAGATGATATTCTGTTATGATACGACGTCACAGAACCGCATCAGGAACTTACGACCTGCATCTGCCATTCCGCGACCGTTATCGTCACATAGCAATCTTCTGTGTCAACATATTAGAAATAAAAACACATTTTTCCTCACCGATAGCACAACTCTGGGTTTCATGTACAGTGCAATCGTCAGGTGTTGATTGAAAACTCAATCGATTGCATATATCGATATATATATATCGATATAGGAAATATATATATATATATATATATATATATATATATATATATATATAAATGTGTGTGTGTGTGTGTGTGTGTGTGTGTGTGTGTGTGTGCATTAGTTCCGTTTCATCTTCAAGCGAATATTGAATTCCAATATTCGCTTGAAGTTGAAACGAAACTAATATATTTAATTTAATTATATAATTAAATTTAAAGTTTTTAGCTTTCATTTTGAAATATGGTTATTACTGTGTAGCGAAAAAGCATATTTTAAATCAATTTATTATATATATATATATATATATATATATATATATATATATATATATATATATGGAGAGAGAGAGAGAGAGATAGTGTTCTTACAATTGATTATGCATACTGGTTAAAAACCTTTACACGTGCCTTTAACTATTACTCATTGGAAGTGGGGAAAAATTTAAGGAACCGAAAAAATAAGAAAGCCAAAATAAACAGATAAGAACTAAAACTAATGTAAATAGTAAATTTATAATTTATAATAAGTAATCGTAAATAATTATAGTAAATCGTAAATAATGTAAATAGTACATTAAAAGTAATGTAAATCGTAAATAATGTAAATAGTACATTAAAAGTAATGTAAAAATTTAAGGAACCGAAAAATAAGAAAGCCAAAATAAGTTCGAATAGAAACAAGAACTAAAACGTAACTTAAAAAATAAAAAAAAAACTAATTAATGAATAAGGAAGAAAAATAAGAATATAACGAATTAGTAGAAGACATTTAACTGAATAGAGCGATATAAAGGGTGTTCCAATAACTTGGACCGATTTTAAACTTAATTTACATTTAAAAATAGTCCCAGTTATTGGAACACCCTTTATAACGAATAGTGAGTGAAAAACTGAATAGAGAAAGATTGAATAAGAGAAAGAAAATTAGAGAAAGCATATAATTCGAGTGGTAGTATGAGGAGAAAGTAAAATGGAAAAGGCAAAGGGAGGGAAATGTAAAGAAAGAAAGAGCATAATTACAGAAGAAGCAGTAGGACATAAACGGTAAATAAAGAGGGGGAAAGAAGGGAATTGTAGTAGAGTGTAGGGTGGAGAGTAGTAGAAAACAGTGGCCGAGTTCAACTGAAAATATCCTAGACAGCCTGACGCAGCAGACAGATTCACCTCAAAGTGGATAAACAGCAACTCTGTGTTGATTCCTCTTACCTGGCATCTTTTTTTTTCAACTTTTCCTTTTTATCCAAGAGGCTAGAAACGTTAAAGAAAGAATTCTTGAAATTGATGCCAATTCTTTTCTCCTTTTAGTCTCATGAGTTTGCACAGTTTTTCTTTTAGAAAAGGCGTGGCTTTCGAATGTTTTGATGTCATAATAGACCACTTCCCAAATTAGTGCGCTTTGGAAACGTTTCATCTTTATTATTAATATTATTATTGTTATTATTAGTGTTTACTTGGAAGAGGATTCATTTTGAAATACAAGGCTCCAAGTAGCGTTCTGTTGGATTCCTTCAAGACAAAAAACCTGTCTTCAGCTTTGTTTTAAAGTATTTTCAGGAAGAGATAAAAAAAAATCATCTAGAGACAAAAAGAAATGATGTGAGCAAAATAAAATGAAAAAATAAAAACAGGAAAAATATTTAACGATTTTTAAAAATTCGGCAAAAAACATCAAGTAAAAGAAAGAAAGAAAGAAAGAAACAAAAAAAAGGAAAAAAAAGAAAGAGTTCATTTTTAATGGAGGATTTGAAATAAATAAATGAAAGAAAATGAAAATTTGAAAGAGCAAAAGAAGAAAAGGAAAGCGAGCATAGAAAACTGGCGCTTGAGGAAAGAAAAAGTAATAAATCACGAAGGAAATTTAAAAAAGAAGTAAATATACAACAAAAGATCAAATGAAGAATGTGAATTAAAAGATAAAGAAGAATAAGAAAAAAAGAAAAGAATAAAAAATGAATTAAAACAAAAAAACATACGTATGCACACATCTACACACCAATATACATATGAAAAAATGAAATTGATAAAATCTAAAATTAAATAAAAAGATAATTGATAAAGAAAAAAAGAATTTTTTTTTTAGTCCTATCTGGATTTACGCGGGTGATTAAGTAAAAATTCTCACCTTATTTGGATATATATTACCAAACTTCAAAGTAAGTATTTATCACACATTTCTCTTTTAAAGTAAAGAAAGTTACTTTCTTAAAATAATTGCTCAATATTTTTCTATGTGCTGTGTCCCTTTAAGCCATGGGAGATCATCTATTGTCACAATCTGCTTCCGTTTGAAGCCCTTATTAATGCTTTTTTTAAACGTTTCATCCTAAGCAAGGTGGGAAGACTCTAGCACGCAAGAGGTTACAGAGAGTTGGATTTAGGATATATGAAGAGAAGGATTAGATCAAGGCATCTGGAACGTCGATTGACATTACATTTGAATAGTTGTAGATTATTATCAGGGAAACAGGAAAAGGGGGAATTCCACAGGCGAGAAGTGCGAGAGAAAGCTATTGGAGTAGAAGAGAGACTTTTAAAGTTTCGACAGTGAAAGGGTGAGAGCGAAATACCAGCCTAGTTGAACGCTTAAATTCATGAAGTATTTTTGCTATATCTCCTAAACTCTAAACTCTGCCAAACATTTACACATAGTCTTTAGGTAGATTCTACTTTGCTTTCTTTTTGCTTTTAATATGTCATGTGAGTCAAATTTTCCAAGTTTTCTTTCATCATTATATATCCGAGAGATTTCAAATGCCTCTTTCTGATGCCACCTATAATTGTCCATTTGGTTTCCATTTTCTCTAAATCTTCGTCGTTGTTCACTTGTTCTCAGTATCCTTTTGTACAACCACATTTCTTTTGCTTCAAGTCTCTTCATCTGCGATGTGATTGTCCAGCATTCATTGACATATAAGACAGAGTAATTTTCTTCATAGCAATAATCTTATCATAAAGGCAATAGTATCTAGATCTCTTAAAAGAAAAACTTTCAAATATTATTCATTGTTTGATTAGTTTTAATTTGGTTTTAATTTAATTAATCTTTTTATTACGACACAAAGTTCGTTATTCTACAAAAAGCCCGAATCGAAAAATAAAGAAAACGCTTCCAGTGTGACTTTAAAACGCTGTCCTTCACATTTTTCTTTGTCTATTCTTCATAAACTTAATGGATTTCCTTCCTTATCTTTTTAGGTCGAATTGGTCATACGTGAAAGCAACAAAATAAACAGAATACAAACTATATTCCTAATCGTCTAAGTAAAAATGGCGAACGTGCTCTGTCATAATGTATAATGGCGAATGTGTTATCTAGTCAAATAAGATTTATATATTTCCATTACTTTTACTGTTACCGTTATTCTTTTAGAATCATACCTAAGTCAGTTGTTCAGACAATCACTGCTTTCTGCATTCTTTCTATGCTTGTTTCGGCAAGATATTAATACCATTTTTGTACTTTAATCAAACATCTTTATTGCTTTCGGAAGGGTGTTGCATTAAGACGGATCAAAGTCAGCAGTAAATAAATCAGTGTTATTGATGAAAATTTATTTATTTCTCTATTGGATCATGTTTTTTAAATCATGGCAATTATGTGTGAAAAATAATATCACCCAAATGTCCACTAAATCTGAAAGAAAAAGAAAAAAATCATTAGACACTTAAACTTAATTTACATTAAAATCGGTCCAAGTTATTGGAACATTACTTTCATTCAGTTTTATTTTCGATCTAACATTCTCCTTTCTGTTTCCACTAAAAACTTTTCGACCGTTTAGTCCCTGGCTATCCGCAGGTATATTCTGCATTCCGTAACCGTTAGAGAATTTCAAACGAAACTATATTTCCCTTAAAAAAAAAAAAGAAATAAATGTTTCTTGTATTGTCATGTTCAGTGTTAGTTCTTAGGACTGAGTCGAGAACACTTTCATGATGACAAAAAGAAGGGCTATGAAATTATTCATCTAATTATTCAAAACACAATAAGGGGCTCATGGCCACATCACGCTGAAACACCGTATCCCATATGGTCACTGAAGATAAACAACGTCGATACTGGTCAGTACTTAGATGGGTGACCGTTTGGGAATACTAGGTTCTATAAACTTGGATGTGTGGGTGGCGTAATGGATAATGATTCTTAATCAAATAACCGTGTTTCAATTCCTGTAGAGTTCGTCCTTTCCACTTACGCGCAAATGTCCTTGGGAAGAGTATGAATTCACTTTTTCTCTCCACAGCTATGAGTTAAATAATATGACTTCTATTCCTAAACCATTATTATTTTTTTCTTAAAATACGTACAGGCTAAAAATATTTGTCTAGTTTCATTTAATCTGCAAAGGGTTGATAAATCGTAAAAAACAAATCAATCAAAGCAGAAATTTTACTATTTACATTATTTACATTGCACATTGTATACACAGATACAAAGTTTATTGTATGCAAATTTAGTCCCCAGAAACTGCGAGAAGTACACAAACCGAAATGTTTTGATGCTTACAACAAAAGGGTGAATGTTTTTAACAGCGATCATCAAATAATAGCAAAGCCTCATAACAATCTGTCTATATTTCTGAGATGAGGTATTATGTACACAATTTACATTATTCCTCAAGGACACATGGCACAGTGGATAAAGGCGTTAGTTCGATCCAGTGACATGACCCACACAGTGTGAGTTCAATACCTGGTTTAGGCGGTGGAGAAATTTGAGAGGGGAATTAACAGGACTTCCATTATACATGACACGTGGAACTAGAACAGTCTACTCCAGTGAGCGAAATAAGGGGTTCAGTTCGACATTCCAACCAGCTGAGGAAGGCCGAAGCGTACAACGGCCGAAACGTTGTGATAAATATGGCGACAAAGATGAGAACAATAATCCGAATAATGTAAATAATCCTCATAATAATGTTACATAAAATATATATTTTGTATATAAATATACTTGGACGTCCTGGGTATAAGGATAAACTACATTTGACAGCAAGAAAACGCCTTTTAATTACTGTTGTTCCCAGGCCCACCCTGACCCGGGGTAGTATCACCTTTTATGGCCTCAGGTATGGGCAAATAGTTAACCCCCAAACTTTGTTCAAAACACTGACAGTATAAAAATACATTTTTATAATAAAAATACATTTTTATAATAGAAATATCAGTCATACCTTTTCATAGTAAAAAATACCAGCAATACATTTTAGGAAAAGAAATTGCTAATGCTCCCAAGAAAACTAAGTTTCAGCAGTAAATGACCCATAATGAGTTGACAGGTGGCTAAACAAATATATATACCACTTGGATGGTCCCTTGAATCCTACAATACTAACTTCAAGTCAAGGGTCCGTCATTTTCACTCTCCATATATTCATAAACTCCACTTCTTACCACCTCATATCACAAACTTCATTTGTCATAACGATTTTTAACTGATTAGTAATCAGATGATTGCATAAACAAAATAAAAATACTTTTTTAAAAAATCGTTGATGATTAAATTTATTGGAAACAGATAACCAAACGTTTAAAGCCATTCATTGCAAAATCCAAATAAGGCCAAATAAGACATGCTCAGTCGAAAATTTCAAAACCAGGTTAAATGTAAAAGAAATATAATATGGAAGAAAACCGAGATGAGATGTTTCCGTATTTCTACCACCCGCCATGCGAGTTGTTGGTTGTTGTGCACAGGTAAAAATCAGGATTTTTACCTTTTCATTTTTCAAATGAAATTATCGTCCTGGCTTAAAAGATACTGGAAATTTTACCAAATGTTTGGCATATCCAAACACGACACCGATCTCACTGTTCCTGCACTCCTATCCTAATTAGATAAGCCAATGTTTTCATTTCGTGTCAGACTGGACTATACTGATTAGGTATGTTCTTTGAGCATTTAAATTTAAACTTTTGAAAGGAAATAAAGAATATTTTTACTATTTTAAAAACATTAAAAATATCCTTCTGTGTTTATCAAATTATGATTAAAATTACAAAAAATTTTAAACTCTTTTTTTACAAAAAAATTAAACTGTTGTTTTGCAGTTTTTATAAATAAACATATATTTTGATATAGCAAGCAGATTCATACACAAATTGGGGTAATTTGGATTTTAGTTTTGCAGGTAATAATAATAATTAAAAGGTCATTTTCATCGGCTAGTTTCAAAGTGAAAGGTTTGAAAATAAACTTGGAAAACTGAATAGCTGTTAATCAATATTTGGCATAACAATATTTTAAGTATCAAGCCATATTATTTTTTTTTAAAGTTTTAGTGATATTAGGTAGTGCCCTTTCATATCTGCAATTTCAAACAACTGAAACCAAACCCAGAAATTCCTGAGATATTTAATAATAATCGCAATACTTAGGAGTTGTGATACTGTCAACTTGATTATACCGACGAGAAATTACAAAACGGTTCATTTAAATACGCTACAAGAAAAAATCGTATGTTAAAGTTCCTAAGATCTACAATAAAAAAGTATATTATACTGTAAAATATATTATACCGTAAAGTAACGTTTATTGTAGTATACTACTATACTTATTCTGTTTTATTAGTAATTATTGTTATTAATTTTATCGTGCCTAACTTATAACTAAGACTTTATTATATGTATGTATAGAAAAAACAGTGTATATAGAGGTTTCAACAACATCCGCTGATGTGGGGCAGCAGTTACAAGTTTTGAATGTATCAGCCGCCATTATATTTTGAACTAATCAATTTAAAGAATCTAGTTAAAAGGCAGTAGATGTGATTCTTAGTATGTAATCACGCCATCAATCTAACCATACGGAAAATACATTATGACTCATTAATAGTTATGTAAATTGTTTCCTAATTGCAATTAATTGTCAATAAGTATTGCGAAATTATCTAAATAGGTTGTTTTCTTTTCATTCTATCTACGTTTTTTAACTTTATTTCTATTTAAAAATAACAAATTCGAGTTGAAAAGATTGGATTCAAACCTGAGAGGTCCTTGTCTCCATTTTAAATGCCGGTTTAATGTAGCTAGTTAAAAGATCTTTTTAAAAGAAAAGTAAACTTAAACCCATCAAATAGCTTTATATTGATAGCGGCCTGTGATTTTCAACGTGCTTGGTAAACAGGCAAATTTCGTTAGAAATAAAAAAAAATGAGTATCGAAAAAAAAATGAGTATAAAAAAATGGGTATAAAAAAATGAGTATCGAAATGTTATTTACTGTCAGTTCTCATATTTAACAGTGAATTTTGGTCAGTCTACTCACAGATGAAGAAGAGAATTGAAACCACAGAAATGTAGTTCTACAGAAAGATGTTTACAATAACATGGACCGAATATGTGAACAACGACAATGGTCTAGAGATAACGACAAAAAGCACGCTCATGATTAACATCAGGAAGAGAGAGTTGAAATTTTTAGGTCACATAATAAGGAAGAAGGGCTTGTAAAATTTGATACTCACAGGACAGATTGAAGGTAAGAAAAACAGAGGAGATCAACGCCCAACCTGCTTGGCGAGCTTGATTGAATGGGCAGGAAAATAGAGTTTGGGTGGGATGGTAAAAAAAGTTAATAAGAGCAACAACGTATAGGGAATTGGGGATGGTCTTATTTGCCAACGTCCGGAAGGGACACAGCACACAGAAGAACAATCACGCCATCAGTCGAATCATATGGAAAAAGACATTATGACTCATTAATAATTATGCAAATTGTTTCTTAATTGTAATTAATCGCTAATAATTATTGCGCAATTATCTAAATTGGTTGTTTTCTTTTTTTCTATCTACTTCTTTTTTTTAAAAAATTATTTCTCTTTAATCAACTGCAAATTTGAGTGGAAAACATTGGATTGAAACCTGAGAGGTCTTTGTCTTCGTTTCAAATATCGGGCTAATGTAGAGAGTTAACAGAGACCTGTTTAAAAGAAAAGTGAACTTAAACCCAGTAAATAGCTTTATATTTATAGCGGCCTGTGTTTCCCAACGTGATTGGTTAACATCCACATAGATACTGAAGGTAGAAGTTTTTAGAAAAGTTATGAAGAGCTATAATTTTAATAGTACCTCACAAAGAACATCAAGGTTCCCTTGACGTATTTGGGAAAAATATTAGAATAATCCAGAATTTATACTGGATGAAAACCGCCTGCATACGAATAGAAAATGAATTCAGTAGGTACACAAAAATACAAAGGGGTGTAAACAAGGATGTGTTTTCTCACCGGAATATTACTGTGAAGAGATTCTGAGAGGATTAGAAGTCTTAACAACATAGGATTAAAGTTTACGTTTTATTTTAATATTCAAATTCGACTGTTTCAGCAATCTGATTTTTATTAATCAATTCACCCCAAGCAAGACAATAAATTCAATCAGACACAAGTAGTGTTAAATAATAACCTGACATCCCGGCTTCAGCCACTTTCCAACGGCAGTAATGTCGCTTCCCTGTGCCTTTTCTATAAAAAAATCATGGTAATTGTTCTAATGAACTGTGCTCTATGGTACCTAGTATTTAAGCGCAGTACTAGATTGGTGGTAAGGTCTCATCACTTCAAAGCTGAATTGGCTAGATGTAACCATAACTTCTATTCTAACAGTTTTTATCGCACTTCTCGTTTGTGGAAGTCTCTTCCGATACCATGTTTCATAAATCTAAATGCAATGTCGCTCGTTATCTACCGTCTTCTTGATTATTCTTTTATTGTTTTCGCTCCTTAATAATGTTTCTCTTTTTTCTTATTCTTTCAAACTCAATAACCCCTTGTGTCTTAGTGGCTTTACTGCCTTTCAGGATAAAAACAAACTTAGATAGTTTAAGGACATATTTTTTTTTGATTGATTTTAGTTAAAATTATAATTGTATCTTTACTAGATTCATTCTAAATACGTACAATCAAACGGTATTAGAAATCCGCCAATTATTTTATTGGACATCACTTTTTAAAGGAGACAACTCAAATTACGAAGCAAGCAAGATACAACACGGATCAAACTTGAGATAAGAAAAGTGGCTCACGCCATCTGACCATGACACAAGAATCTGCATATTGACCGGATCAACTTTCATCGACTCTAGTTTGTCATTCAACACTT